CGTACCGACTCGACGAACCTTGCCCAGGTTGCCATCGATGCATCGCGTAAGCTGGTGGAGAGCGAGTACGGAAAGGAGTACTTGCCTGAGAAGCCTCGCATGTACTCCTCGAAAGTGAAGAATGCTCAGGAGGCTCACGAAGCAATTCGACCAGCGGGTAACGAATTCCGCAAACCTGATTCCCTGAAAAAAGAATTGAATGACGAACAGTTCAAACTGTTCGAGCTGATTTGGAAACGAACGGTTGCCTGTCAGATGGCAGACGCTCGGGGGCATCGCATCTCTATCAACATTGGCGGTGGAGAAGCAGTCTTCTATGTCAGCGGAAAGACGATTGACTTTCCTGGCTTTCTTCGTGCTTACGTCGAAGGCTCTGACGATCCTCAGGCAGAACTTGCCGACCGAGAAACGCTGCTGCCGACGGTTACTATTGGTCAAAGCGTTGATGCGAAGGAATTCGACCCTAAGAGCCACACAACCCAGCCTCCGGCACGGTTCAGCGAAGCTTCGCTAACACGTAGTTTGGAAGAAATGGGAATTGGCCGCCCGAGTACGTACGCATCGATTATCGACACGATTTTGCGTCGTGAGTACGTGTTCAAAAAAGGGAATGCACTTGTCCCAACATGGACTTCATTTGCGGTAGTTGGACTGCTTGAAGCCCATCTCGCAAAACTGGTCGACTACGATTTCACGGCGAAGATGGAGGACGATCTCGACAGCATTAGCCGCGGTGAAGCAGACGCGAGCGATTACCTCAGCAAGTTCTATTTCGGCGTCGAAAATCATGGCCTCAAGCAGGTCATCGAAGAACGCATTAAAGACGTCGACGCTCGTAGCGTGAACTCGATTCCGCTCGGGGCACCTCAGGAAGGGGAGCATCGTGACGAAGTCTTTGTTCGCGTCGGTCGTTATGGGCCCTACGTCGAGCAAGGGGAGCGTCGTGGATCGATTCCGGATGAATTGCCTCCAGATGAAATCGACCTGACGAGGGCGATGGAAATCCTCGAGCAGTCGGAGAAGGGGGAAGAG